TTTTTAGACATCAACTTACTTTATATGCAAAGTTTTTCACTTACTAATTGGAAACAAGGAAAAATAGCAACGAAGACTTGAATTCAGATTTTCAGTGCATCAATCCCTAATGATCTGAATTTGGGCAAATCACTAACTAGAGCTACTACGTCCTTCTCTGAAAAACGAGAATATCTGAAAAATTTTCAGATCAATGAACTACATCAATTATCAGAGCTAAGGAACACCAACTAGAACAAAAGCTAGGCTACACTTAAACATGTTATAGTAAAACTGTGGAACATCAAAGAAAAACATCAGGTGTAAAGAAGGAAGAGAGTTAAAGACAGAGTATAAACAAATCAGAATTAGTTTGATTGACTACGGGTTCTTTAACAGCAACAACAGACATTCATAAGAGTGTGGCTGAAAGAAAGTTAAAATAAATTTTTATTATATATATAGCTAAAATGTTCAACAAGATGGTGGACAAAGCAAAGACATTTTTTGATAGACAGAAGAGCAGACTTCTACTCACCCTCTTCTTCCTCACCGACAGAACCTCAGTTTTATTTGGGGTGACTACATCCTTAGAAAATTGCACGTCCCAGTCTCCTTTGCAGCTGGGGTAGCTGTTTGACAGTTCTGGCCACTGAGTCAAAAGGTTAGACGCAGGAAGGAATCTGGGAATGTTGGGAATCTCGGCTGCCTTGTTTTCCTACTGTATGTGCTGCCCATCTTCCTCTCTCCCCTTCCCTCCCTCATGATGCTGAAGGGGAGACACAGTGGCTGGAGTTGCAACAGACATCTTATGATTTTGAGGCAAAGGCTGAGGAAATCACAGAAACCTTGCCCTGTAACTACTCACCTCTGTACTTTGCTACATGAGAAAAAAAAAATAGGCTTTTTTTAAAGCTACTGTTTCAGTTAGTCATAACTGAATGCAATCCTATTTATTACAGACTGAAGAAGAAAGAAAACCTGATTACTAACAAAAATATGACTGTCTATAGAAAACCCAAGTGAATCTAGTCATATTTTTAGAAACAATAGAAGTGTTCAGAATATATTAATACAATATACTAAAATCAACTGTATGTTCGAATACCACCAATGAAATCAGAAAATGTGATTTTTAAAAATGTATAACTTACAATAGCAACACAAAATACAGGGTTTCTAGAAATAAATCTTATATAAGATGTACAGGATCTTATGGACAAAATTTTAAAATTATTGAGAGCAATCAAAATGTTCTAAGTAAATGGAGAGATAAATTATATTTATGGATGGGAAGACAATTTCCTTCAGAAATTTTCTTATCTAATTGTTCTATTCTCCCCAAATTTATCTATAAATTTAACATAATTATGAAAAAAATTACAATGGAATTGTGTGTGTGACACTTGTGAAGCCAATGCTAAAATTTATGAAGAGCAAAATGCCTGAAATAGCCATGAAAATTCTGAAGAAGAACAAGGTTGGGGACTCAACTTATCATACGTCAATATTTATTATAAAGCGATGGTAATTAGGGCAGTGTGGTATCAGTACAGGAAGAAGAATGTAAGCCAAGGGAACAGCCTAGAGATTTAAGAAACATACCCACGAATACGAAACTGTATGGTACCTTGCAAATCACTAGAGAAAGGATGATAACTGATGCTAGAGCAATTGGTTATCAGCATCGAAAAAAAAATCAGATCCCTAACTCATATCATACACAAAGATCAATTTCAGGTGAAATAAAAGATCTAAAAATAAAACTAAAATGTGAGAACATCGTTATGACCATCAGGAATAGAAAGATGACTTAAGACACAAAAATTACAAATCTTAAAGCAAAAGATTGATAAATGACTACCTTTAATTTAATAACCTCAGTGGATACAAAAACGCCATAAACAAATAGAGAAGGCAAAGGATAGCCAGGAAGAAGATAATTAGGGTCTGAAGAACTCCTAAGAATTAATAAGAAAAAAACAAATAGTCCAATGGCTAAATGGGCAAAAGAAAGTAGCAATCTGCAAAAGAGGAAACCAGCATGGTTAATAACTCCAAAAAGATGCTTCCCTCACCAGCAATCAGAGACCACAGTGACACATCATTGACATTCACCAGACTGTCAAAAATGATTAAATCTGACAACACCAAGAACTGGGTGGAGATGTGGAGCACGAGAACTCTTGTACACTCCTGGATGAGTGCACACTGGTATAACCAGTGCCAGAGCAACGTGGCATACCTAGCAAAGGTGACGATGCTCTTACCTACGATGCAGCTGCTTTACCCCCAAGTGTACATAGCCTAGAGAAGCTCTTGTGCCAGACACATGTCACAGGATGGTCACAGCATACTGCTATGAAATAAAATATTGTAATATCGGTAGCTTCAACAATATTTGTAAAGATTCATTTCTGAGTGATGGGTACATAGGCATCTTTCACACTTATTTAAAAGACAGAATGTGATCTGAGATACTGCAAATTGAAACAGCTAAATCCCACTATTTTAGAACTTCTGGCATATTTCACAGTGGGTGTAGGTTGGGAGAGACCAAGCCTGGAGACCTACTGAGGAAGATTTTGATATGCTTCTTTACGAGGACTTGCTTCCTCTCCCTGAGCCAAGAAGTGAGCAGCCCTGACTAAGCTACTGCATCTCATTCCTCCTTCTCCGGGCCCAGCCCCATCCTGTCACTTTGTAGGTGTGACTGACAAAATGACACTGACCTCAGGGCTCCGCTTTCACAGAGCAAGACACTGAGTAAGCAGGGGCCCTCTCTGTGAAAGAAATCTAGCCACTTCTCTTCAAGTCAACATGCTGTGATTTCACAGCTATTTTTATTACTTTTTAATGTAGTAATCTTTTGTATCAGAAGACCTCGTTAATTAGCACTTTTACGACAGATAATTGAGGAAACACTTCGTGTCTCAACTCTATTGCTTTGCATACTCCATGAAGTTGCTGTTTACTTATTTTCATAAAATTGTAGAGAAAAAAGTAATCATTTTGAAAGCCAAAGCAATCTGTAAATATATAAATAAGTCATAGTATATAGCATTTCAGCAGGATTGAAACATTATCACAGATAGGAGGGTTAAAATCCCTTTACCCTCAGCATGCCGAAGGCCTCCCTGGAGTAAACGTTATTATACAGGATGAGGATGTGCACCTAACTGTGGGACGCAGGGGATCAGAGGATATTCTAAAGAACCCTGAAGAATCATGCCTAATGCTATGACTCTTCCCTATTACTGTAAGATAAAGGAAGCTGGGGCGATCAGCAATATTGCCAACCCTCCTCTTCACTTTGCTCAGGGTTCCTCCTGTCTTGGGCCAGCCCTGAAAAGTGGTCACTACTAGATCCAGGAAGATGTTCACCACTGTCTAGATTGGGTCCTTGGAAAGAATGGGAACTGTAAAAAGTACGACAATTGTTTTAGGCTGGAATGTTTTCAAAAAAGCTTCTAATGGGAGCTTGTGTCAGTCTCAGCTAAACAGCTTCAAAGCCTGTCACATATTTCTGTGCACTGAGGAGATGTGTTCCCAGCGTCCTTTCAAATTCTGGTGAGCTCTTCAGACATTTGCTTCAAAATCTCTCTAGTTTTTCCTAATTACTTCAGCAGTGGCTCATAGAAATGTCTTTTAAAATATCTTTTTATCTTCGAATTACTTATTTCTTAAAATATTTATTTTCTTCTGGGAACCTAAAAATTTTACATGTTATAGAAGAATGACATGGGGGCCAGCCCCGTGGCTTAGCGGTTAAGTGCACACGCTCTGCTACTGGTGGCCCAGGGTTCGGATCCCAGGTGCGCACAGACACACCGCTTCTCTGGCCATGCTGAGGCGGCGTCCCACATACAGGAACTAGAAGGATGTGCAACTATGACATACAACTATCTACTGGGACTTTCGGGGAAAAAAAAAGGAGGAGGATTGGCAATAGATGTTAGCTCAGAGCCAGTCTACCTCAGCAAAAAGAGGAGGATTGGCATGGATGTTAGCTCAGGGCTGATCTTCCTCACAAAAAAAAGAATGACATGGTTCTGTATTTTACTTTTTACAACCTTAGAGGTATTGGTCAATCAGGAGATACTCCCTCTGACATTCGATCAAAGCTCTTTGATTTAATTATCATTACTCTTAAAGATGCTAGAGTTGATTCACTTCACAACACCTGATGGTTTCTCTTGGAATCAGCCTTTATTTCACGACCAGATTCACCTCAATTTTTGTTCTTTTCAAACCAGACAGTTTTAGTATAACTAGAATCTAAAGCAGTTAATAAGTAGTGGAAAACATTTTAAAACTTAATAAGAGCAGCTAATCTTATAAAATCTCAGAGGTTTGACTATGAAAAGAACTTGCTACTTTAGTTAGAATAGCTACTTCTCTGGAAAAATAAAGGAGATTTCAAGTATACAAAATCTTGTAGAAAGAAGATTGGGCAAAGAGTTCTTAGATATGACACTAAAAGTACAATCCATAAAAGAAAAAAACGGAGCTTCATCAAAATTAAATTAATGAATTTAGTTAATTAAATTTAAGAAAATGAAGAGATAAGCCAAAGACTCTGAGACAATATTTGCAAGTCATATATCTAATAAAGGACTTGTATCTGGAATAAAATATGGGCAAAAGACCTGAATAGACATTACTCCAGAGAAAATATACAAATGGTCCATAAGCACATGAAAAGATGTTCAACATCATTAGTCATCAGGAGAATGCAAATAAAAACCACAATGAGATACCACTTCATACCCACTAGGATATGTATTAAAAAACGAAGAGAATAATAGGTGTTGGTGAAGATGTAGAGAAGTGGAACTCTCATACATCACTGGTAGGAATGGAAAATGGTGCAGCCGCTGTGGAAAAGAGTCTGGCAGTTCCTTGAAAAGTTAAACACAGAGTTACCATATGAACCAGCAATTCCACTCCTAGGTATATACCAAAGAGAAAGTTTTTAAAGAAATAAAGAATATATCCCTTTGTGCAAGGGTTTTACTTACTGAGGTTCCACTTGAGGCCTGTTGTCGTAACCTGACTGCATGGCTGTCCAACAGGAATAAGGCCACACCAATCACCTTCCATTCCAGTATCTACGTGCAATTTGTGCCTTCCCTGAACGAGAGAAGGAATGATCATTAAGACAGGGAAGAGGAAGTTAGGGACACTGATGTGCATTGAAAGCCTGGTGGTATGCATCAGGCACCATCCTAGGAACTTCACATGGTTTATCATACTTAATCTTAACAACAAATTTATGTAGTATGTACTGAATAATCCTAGGAACTTGCAGCTGACTAAATCCTAGTGATAATTTTACAAGGTAGTTTACTGTTAATTATTACATTTACATATGAGAAAACTGAAGCTTGCAGAGATTAAACGTGTCTAGGACCACACTAATAGCAAGGGGGCAGAATCGGGATTCCTACCTATAGCTGCCAATTCCAAAGACTAGACTGGTTCCACATGCTAAAGATGTAGCACCATATGATACAGAATTCTAGGGTCTTACTCAAACATTTAACTCAAGTGTAAATAAAATATTGCTTCCTAAGTAAAATCTCTGCTTTATCTGAGAATTGAGTTTCTAACTTTCAGAATTCAATGTCAGTCCTACTAGTGGTTAACCTGTTTCTTATACCCATAGCCATTCTAGGAGATGCTCAGTGAGAAGTACCTCTACCAGGAAACAGAGTATCTGCCCTGAGGAACTGGTATGCTGCTTCCATTCTGATTATGAAAACTGACATAATTTACCATGTTTTCAATTTTTCCATTTACAAGAAGGTTCAAGTTAAATGTAATGCTCAATCAAGGCTACAACGTTTGCTTTCAAATAGACTACTTGGAAACTCCTCTTCTACAGAGTAAAGATTTTCCATTCCTACTCTATTCATTATCCTTAGTGCATATGGTCTTTATAAAAAGATACTTCAAGTCCCTATGGGAAAATGCCGAGGCATGTGCACATTCAATAGGAGAATAAAAAAGGTATTTTTCATAATTCATATAACTCTGAATAAGTTCCAAAGGATATTCTTTATTTTAATAAAATATTGTTTTAAAATATATTTAATATATGACATATTACCAGACTAAGGTATCTAGGTCTCCTTTTACAGTCATTTTACTTTTATTCCAACTATGCCTTTTGTACCTTGTACTGCAAGCTTCTGAGGACTTATTCTGCTGTATACAAAGCCTTGACATGTGAGTACACTTTGTCTTTAGTCAAAGGATTGCTTTTATTAGGAACACAGTTCTCTAGATTACATATCAGTCCTTGAAATTTAACACAAATTCATTCAGATCTTTACTAGCTACACAATTCATATACACATATTTCTATTTGAACATTCAATCAGAGGGCATAAATTCAATCAAAAGGGCTTAAATATATTCAAACACAAGATTTTTAAAGAAAATATAAAATACATTTGAACTTGGTGTCAATCACTGGGAGAAAAGATAGGCACACGTGGAGATATACACCAAGCAATGGATTAGATGCACACAGAGAAATGTGGGTAGACTGAAAACATAATACATTCTGAAACACGATGCATAGTAGGAAACAGAATCATGTAAATTACAGAACCCATTCATGTAAATTAAAATAAATGCAAACACAAGATATTTTTTCTAATAATAAAATTTTTAAAAATATATGTTAAAAATTTTTTAAATATGTGAGTGCATATATACACGTGAACATGTTTGCCTATGGGAAGGGCAAGGAGAATGGGAACGTGGTGTAGGGATATAAAGGAAGCAACGGATCAGTCAATCAATAGGATTCTTGCCTGGACCAGAGAGGACGATGCGCCACGAACATTAAGATCTTATAAAAATAAAATAACAAATATGTTTTTTCGACATGGAGCAAAACAAGACAGAAGTTCTTAGACTTTTCTGAAGAAAAAATAGAGAATATATTCTAATAATTCTAAACAGTAATTCAAGAAAGAGGGAATAATGAGGACACAACCATGGAAAAAAGTTAGGAGTGAAATAAAAACTAATCTTGTTCTTGAATAATGATCTTTGGTGTTTTTCTTTTAGTGTCAATTTAGAGCAAAAGCATAGACACCATTAATACAGTTATAGAAACTTTCTACACATTACAGTGTAAAAGTAGTGCTACGATTGTGAAAAGATACAGCTGAGGAAAAGAGTATAAGAAAATGCAGTGCCCCTAATTTTCTCATCATTTTGCATCGTGGGGGGAAGCCCAAGAAATTGTGCCTGAAGTTGTAGATTTTAAAAAGGAGGATTTTAAAATTGCTCCTGGTCTGAGTAATTGGTAATATGCAAAGGCAGCAGCAATGAGACTGAGTATGAGATTCGAAATAGCTCTTTTCTTCATCCAGCCATATTAATCATTCATGAGCCTCCATGCTAGAGTCAGAGACAAGTTATTCACACAACTATACATACGAAAACTGTGATCGGTGCATGGAAGGCAAAGCACGGAGAGGTAGGAAAGATAATAGATCAGAGACCTTATCAGGTGTGGGGAGTGGGGGCAGCATGTAAGCAAGGGGTTCCCTGCGGAGCGATGCTTCTGTGGGAACTGAAGGATAAACAGGAGTCAGCTCCGTGAAGGGAGGGCGAAGAAGCGTGCAGGTCCAGGGCGCCCACATGCAAAGGCATGAGATGGCATCAGGACATCACTGACTGGGCGAGGGGGGTTGTGAGGAGTGGGTGGAGCACAGATTTTTAGGGCAGTAAAGCTCTTCTGTGTCACACTGTAATGGTGAATACACGGCATTATGCATTGTCAAAACCCACAGAACGGTATAAACACAAGGAGTGAACCCTAATGTAAATTACGGACTTTCATTAATAATAATGTATCAACATTGGTTCACCATTTGCAACAAATGTACCACACTAATGCCAGATAATGGAGAAATTGCCAGCAGGAGGCAGATATATAGGAACTCGCTGTCTATTCTGCTGAACTTTCTGTACATCTAAAACTGCTCTAAAAATAAAGTCTACTAATTAAAAAAAAAAGTCTCTCAATTTTTCAGTTTTGACCTTTCAGTTTGCCATCCCTTAAATGGGACTGACGGGCATGTGATGGGTGCTTTGCAACCTGTCCTAGCTGGATGAAAGGGACCACACACAGAGAAACGTGCAGCTGCTTCTCAGCAGCCATTACAACCTTATTCTGCTCTATTGCCTAAAAAAATAGGGTTGTTTTTGTTTGTTAGTTTAAGCCATGAGCTGTCTTTATCTCTTCGTATAGCATTTTTCCCTAAATTGATTTACATTGAATAGCTTGCCACACAAATATGAGTTTTGTTCTCCCTACTATCCTCCACTGTAGAATTAATTTTCTCTGAAGATATAGATACTAAATATAATACAAATTATCATCCACAGATGCCAAACGTAACACACTTTAAACAATTCTGAAAGCAGTAACAAAGCCTCCTTTATAATCAAAGGAGTTGATGAGAGAGGGTGTTGGAGAAATTCCGATTTCCTTAGAACTGCTTTGGCTTCAGCTGTGAATAGGAAGCAGAGGAGGAGGTGACCTGTCATGTGGGCAGATCCCAGCCTGATAAAACCTGTCCTCCCAGGTCCCCATCAGAAAGCACAGCATATCAGAGGGGTTACAGGTAACCCGAGCCTCCTGGGCACTGGGTGGCAGAGAACACTGGAGGAAGGGCAGGAATGCACACCTGGCCCAGGGCTCGGGTAACAGTGTCTCTGACAACGAGACCTTTGTTAGAGACTGTGACTTCTTCATTCCTTATCAAAGAGAGACTCATGTGTCTGTGGGCTGTGTTATTTTCAATATGTTACAGTTAATTCTGAAGACTTTCCTCCCTCTGTTTGTGGTCTGCTTAATGGTTTGGCAGTGGTCAGCTGAACACGTTAAAATGTTTGCTTCTCCATCGAACTTCAGTAAAGAATAATGAAGGAAATAAGGAATGATTTCTCAACTTGTGGATATTAACTCCCTAAGAAGATTCTTCAACTTGTATTACAGAATGCAAAGGGAAAGCACATATACATGTTAAGTTTTACTATCCCAGGGAGAGGAAGGCTGTTATAAAATCTACTGATTCAGATGGCATAGTAGAAAGCTTTCTTTTCCAGCCTTGCTATATATTCATTGCCTTCCTCATTATTTTAAGATTCAACAGACCTTGAAATTTTCAATCTGGGAATAAACTAGTTCGTGGACTTGAGAAGTCACCTAGGTCTTAGCCTATAATCAATTAACATTTTTTCTCCTGTTCCGAAAAGGTGTTATGTATGTTACATACGTAGCCATATGTAAATGGTCTTTGTGTTTACAAACATGCAAATTTAGCTTTGTGTAGTTAAAGGAGAGCGATCCTTTTCTCCTATATCCTCATTTGTATGTGACATCTTTAAAAAATGAACAACAAAAGGAATTCTGTTCATTCCTCTGATTTCTCGATTTATAATATATGCTAGCCTATATGTGATTTGACACAGGCAGGCATACAGTATGACATTAAAGAACCTCCTTAAAGATTTATGCCATTACTGGAGACCAGAGGCACGTGAGCTAATCACTGACTTCCATCTCCTCGCATGAATCATTGCACAGGTTCCTGTTCTGAGCTAAGATAACTGTTGGAAGTCAAAGGCAGTTCTATATAGTAAAGACGAAACAAAAATCAATCACAGACAGTTTGCTTTTCCAATCACGGTTATTTTTAACATATTAACAACCTCTATAAGGTATAAAATTGTAATTTACTGAAAGCTAGCCAAGATGCTGCTTGGCACCTATGCTAGAAATCATACTTATGAGCATGTTAAGGACAGGTACCATCACAGGGTCACTTTCCCTAGACTGTAATGCCAAGTCAGAGCAAAATAAACACAAATAGACCCCTAATGAAGGAGTAAGAAATTACTGTTGCTTTGCTTGTATTATACATCCTCTTTGCAAATGACTAGGACATGACTGAGAGAAAAGACAGCCCACCTTGGATTTTGCTTTTGCAAAAATACCAAACATTGAGGTATCTGAATCCTGTTTACATCTCTAAATCCTTAAATCCAATAATGATGCCAAGTTTTATGTTAAGATAGCTTAGTGTGGCTCTCACAAAATACAT